CCCCTAGATCGTGGTCCAGGGCATCCCGTGGAAGTTCACCTGGCAGGACCTCAAGGACCACTTTGCCGAGATCGGCGGCGTTGAGCGCGCCGACATCATGCAGGCCCCCGACGGCCGCAGCAAGGTGCGCGCGCGCGCACGCGAATTCGCATGCAACGGCGGCCCTCACCGTGGCCTCCCAAGCAGCCTCACCCGCGTTCCGGCCGACGCTCGGCGCTATGGCCCGCGCAAAACATGCCGCATTGCACGTGCCGTCCCCGCCGCCTGGCGACCGACGACCCCTCCCCTCCCTGCCTGCCTCCCCACCCAAACTGCACAGGGCTGGGGCACGGTGCGCTTCACGACCACCGACGCGGCGCAGGCGGCCATCGACCGCTTCCACGGCTCTGACCTGGAGGGCCGCACCCTGACTGTCTTCCTGGACAAGAAGGCCTGAGCGCCGGGGCCGACAGCACCCGGGGAGAAGGGGGCGCCCGCAACCATGAGCAACAGCCCACATGGGGGCGCGGCGGAGGAGGGGTGAGGGGGCGTTGCCCGCGGGGCCGCCCCTGCCGCCACATGGGCGGGATGGAGGGGCGAAGGGATGAAAAGGGCGGCGGCGGCCGAGGGCTAGGGTGGGTGGGTTGCGTTTCGTGGGGCCGGCGCTTTGCCATGGGGTTCTTTGGGGGTGCGAGGTCTTCGACCGCCCGCCGCGGCCCCGTGAGTGTTCCCTGCTCGCACGGGCCGGCGGGCGGGCGCGGCGCTGGCTGCCACCAGACGCGGCGGGGTTCAGGAGGACGGCCTGGGGCGGCGTGCAGTGCTTTTGAGCACTGGGTGGGTGCGCGTCGCGCAGAGGGTCCGGCCTGGCTGCGTAGTGACAACCTCCCACTGGCGGCCACGTGGCTCCCAGGGGGTACCTGCGGCAGGCGGGGCGCCCTCAGCGCGCCGGCACTGGTGTTGCTTTGCGTGATGCACGGCGGGCGCATGTTGCGGGGGTGAGGCGGTCGCCCGCTCCGGCCGGCGCCGGCTCGCCTCACCCCCGCTCGCCCATGAGTGTATGGGATGATCATCTGCGTGTGTCGCTGCTGGGGCCCCCTGCCGCGCCGCGCGTGTGCTAACGCTTTGTTATCCTTGGCGGCCGGCGAGGGCCGCCCCGCCCGGACGTCAATCCGTTTATGTTTTGCATGGCATTCTCGCGACCGCGCTGTTTCTCCCCCCTTTTATGCGTGCGCGACTGCCTCGACCGCTTTCCCGCCAGCATCGTGCCCGGGAGCAGCGCCCGTGCGCAGGAGCCGCCGCTCTGCGCATCGCGCTCGGGCCGGCGCCAGCGCGAGCGCGGCTCCCGGGCTGCGACCATACCCCCAACCTGACTGCGTGTCATGACAGCGCTGCCTGGCGCGCCACGTAGGCGTTCCCCGTTCGCTTTGCTTCGTATTTTGGGGGTTTGAGTATTTGGTTTCGCATTCCCTAAGCTCCTCACCATGCAAGCGCCCCTGGCAGGGGGCACGGCACTCTAAAGACCGCTTGTAACTCGAGAGTGAGCCTCCCTCGGCACATGTGTTGATCCACCTGCTCGATGATGTAGCTGTGAGATGGCTGCAGCACCCAACAGGATACGCCTTGGCAGCCGCTGGCATGGGCGACAACATCTCTTACATTGCACATGTTGCCACCTCTTGCCCAAACCCAAGCAAGAGGAGCAGGAGAGCAGGGTGGTGGTTTGTGGCAGGCTTGGCGCAAGCACAGACGCCCTCATCTGCACCCGGGGGCTGCAGGCGCCCGCAACAGGGCAGTTGGCGCGTTTTTGTAGAGTACAGGGAGTGATGTTGATCGATTCTGGTGCCACGACCATGAACACGACCCATGAAAGTCAGGCAGGGGTCAAGGCCATTTGCGCGCACCCAGAGGCCACATGCAGCACGGCACACCACACAGCTGTCCACTCCCAGCTCTCACGGACAGACACGCGCACGCTTGCTGCAGCATTTGCAGTTGATGCTCCAACTCCTGACATCACTCGCACACGTCATCGCACTCGAGACCCTGACAATCTTCTGAACCACGCTTGTCAGAAGCAGAACGCTGGGGAGAACTCACGGACACAGCACAACGTGTTGCAAGAAGGCCCAAATGCAGACAAAGGAGATAGGCTACGGTGTATCGCAAACCTTTGGTACATTCAAACAGCAGCGCGTCAGGCGGGACACAAGATGGAGCTTCCCGGGGACTGCCGCGCTCTACACAGCGACCCGGGCCGCAACTGAAGCCGGATCAACAGCCACGCGCACACACCAGCGCCATCCGAGCCGAGAACCCCGATGGCCAGAGCAGGCGTTGCACGGCAACCTCGTCCTGCTTATACAGCCGCCTCACGCCCTGTGCTCCATGAAGTCTGATATCTCGTGAGCCATCAGGTCGATGCGGCCGCGGTACGCGCGATCTGGGCTGTACATCCCGAGGTTTGACACGTGGGAGGTGTACAGGCACGCGAAGCGGTCCATCTGGAGTTGAGGTGATCAAGGTGGTTGGGGGCCGGAGACAAGGTGCGTGTGAGGAAGGCAAGGGGATCGGGAAGGGGATGTAGGGAGAGAGATGGGCGGCGGACACCTTGCAGGCTAGGGGAGCTGGCGCGGCCCCTCCACACCCGTCCGGCGTGTGCGGCGGAGGGCACGGCGACCTCCTCGCGTCTCGGGGTTGCCAGTCCGAGGGCTGTGTTGTCAAGTCAAAAGCAGCAGCAGCAGCAGCAGCAGCAGCAGCAGCAGCAGCAGCAGCAGCAGCAGCAGCAGCAGCAGCAGCAGCAGCAGCAGCAGCAAACATTAGGTGTATAGCAATGAGTTTGTCAGGTCATCATCTGACAAGACCCGGACCCCCTGCAGCCTGTACGCTGATCATTGAGTCCTTGATTACTAACAGCTCCTGCAACGGCTGGCTGATCTGCGCACCGTTGACATAAGCATGCACTTACTCGCTCACTCCCATACACACGCACACACACACGCACACGCGCGCACGCACAAACCGCACACACTCACACACATGCCAAAGCAGACGAACGACTCCACCCTGACACCGCCCACCTGGTGTGCGTATCGTGAGTTCTGGTAGCCGGTCTTGAGCAGCCGCCCCCACACGGGGTGGAACGCCTCGTGGTACGCCCGCAGCAGCGCGGTGTGCTGCCCCTTCACCGCCGCGCGCCGCTGCCGCAGCGCCTCCAGCGCCGCGCGGCGCGCGTCGGGGTGGTGCTGCCCGGCGTCGGGCTGGGAGTGCTGCTGCTGCTGCTGCTCCTCGGGGCTCTGATGGTGGAGCCGCCGCTCGTGCGTTGCGGCACCGTTGCCGTTGCCGTTGCCGTTGCCGTTTCCGTTGCCGTTGGCGGCGGGGATGAGGGGAGCACTGCTGTCCAGGCTCAGGTCGTCGCTGTGCGCGATCTGCCACTCGAGGCGCTCGATCTGGTCCGCCAGCTCGTCCCTTTCCATGGCAAGGCCAGTGGAACGTTTGTAGTCAGTGTGTGCATGGAGATGGTCATCGGACGATGCGTGTGGGCGCAAGCGTGCGTGTGGGCGCCAGCGGCTGGTACCTTCGGTTGGTGCATGCAGCGGTGCGTGACTCTGCCTTCAGCGCGTCAGCCCAGGCGCTGCCCCCCGGGCTCCGCAGCGCACCTCTCCTCCCTGAGTGTCCGCAGCTCCCTCTGCAGCTTGATGCTGTGTGATGCCACCTCCAGCTC